GTGGTGCGATCATCCCCCTTGCGCGGAGTGAGGACTCTCGACCCCGCACAACATGATCTACTCGACCACCATTATGGTTATCGCTAAAAAAAAAACCCGGAGGAAAAAAAAAAATAGCGGTAACCTGGTTGCCGAGTTCACGAAGTGAATTGGCTTGTTATACAACGTCGTTGCCAAGCGACGAAAACCCAACCCCGATGGCAAGCACCGGGGGGCGGCTGTTAAGAGGGGGGGGGGCAAAACGGGCTCAAGTAAGTGTGTTTGTCTGTGACCAGCCTCGATAATTACCCAGCAGATTCCAGCCCATTTCACCATTTCGGCACCAACTTGCAATCTAAGGGCCGTTTTAAACACTCCAAACTTTTGTTANTGACTTGCTGTGATGTGGAGGTGCTCCAAAAAGAAAGAGCCGCGCGTGACACGTGCAGCAACACGCAAGCGATATACCACACACAGCCCACATATCGACACCATGGACAACAGCGTGGAGACCACGACAACCCTGCGTGGTCGTCACACCAAAGTCCCGGCGAAATACCAGCACAACAGGTCTCTCGGGGCTGCTGTCGGCGGTGGCGGCTTGTTGTCCAGCACCCCGAACCCTCTGCCTGGCTTCAAGGGGACCGCTCGTTCGAACACGGGAGGGGCTTCCGACACCAACACGCAGAGCGAGGGCGTAGCTGGGGGGCCCGGTCACGTGGCGCCCACTGCTTCTGCGCAGCAGAGAACGGGTACAAGAAGCGCGGCGGACCATCGTTCTCATGAAGTGGATGCCATCCTCCAGGACGCACGTTTCAATTCTACGTCCGACTGAGGGTCCATCCGTGTCGGGTCAACAAGCAGCGACTCAGGGAACAGCGACAGCGAGTCAGAGGACGATGACCGTGGCCGACAACACGGCAGGGGAGCAGGCGGAGCTGACGGAGGCAGCTCGAGCGGAGCTGGCGGGGGAAGCTCGGGCGGAGCTGGGGGGGGCCGGTTGAGCCGAGCTGGCAGCAGCGCGGCGGTCGAGTCGGTGGCAAGGACCATGCGTCAGCTTCAAAGCTCGCTGAATCGCAACCGCAACAAGAGCTACAACAAGTGGTCGGCTTACCTGCTCAGGGAAGCCTGCGCACTGCGGAGGCTCAGCGGCTACTCGAGGTCAAAAGACACAGACAAGATGGCAGCGGGGTTGACGCAGCTCGACATCGTCATGAGCAGGAGCAGTCCGTATCTCGCTGACTTGGAGGACAAGGCAACAGGTGAAGACCCAATGATCACCAGACAATGCTCGTGGTAGTGTTGCCACGAGCCTGTTCTTTCAAGGCTTGCATGGGACCTGGGTAGCTCCGTCGAAATGTGTTGCTTTTCCTACGTTCGTAATTTTGCGGTGTTGCCTTTGGGAGAAAAGCATGCTGTGTTTCGACAGCGGGGAGCAACCGCACTACAGATTTATTTTTGGACGATACCATCCCAGCAGTTTTTCTGTCTTCGTGGCGTGAGAGAGAAAAAGAGGAGGCGATGCCTTGTGGCTCCGATCCAGGCACGGCATGTGTCGTACCAATTCCTAGGAGTCGCAAGCAGTCGAGGAAGTGAGTTACAGTAGATGCTCTGCGAACAAGCAGTCCTGACACGGAAGCGCAGTGTCCAACCCTACCGTAAGTGTCAAATGCTGCAAACGCAAGGAAGACCTCGCCAGCCAGGTTTTCGGCGAGCTTGTGCCGAGGAATGCATAGGGGTGTGTAATGTATGAACAACCTCCGACACTGCCCTGCCCATCCCCCGCTCGTTGGCGCTGATGGTATTGTCAGGTGGAACGCCACCATCGAAGCCGCCAGCATCTAGCGCGGAGGCGCAACGAGTTCCTCAAAACCTCATCACAGCGGTACGCGCTGCAATCCGGAGTGGACTCAGCCCCGAGCCGAACAAGATGTACGACTGTGATGGCAAGTCGTACACGGTCGCCGCCATCATGGCGGCGATCAAGGAGGAAGATCGCGCCGATGGGCGGGGCGAGGGCATCGGACAGCGGAGGAAGAGCAAGCACTGCGTCCCTCGCTTTTGTGAACTTCTGATGCATCCGCAGTTCAGGGAGAGGTTTGGCGCCAGTAGGTTGCAGCTGAGCAAGAAGGAGCTGGACGCCAAGCAGAAGGGGACGACCCGGGACATCCATCTCGAGATTTGGGAGGCGTTCAAGGACGAAAAGTTCAAGGTGAGGTGCTTTCTCAATTTTTTTTGCATGTTCCAGTTTGATCTAGGTGTAGTGGTGGTGGTATCCTCCGTTGTGGCCTGCACGAGGCGGTATTTTTTTGTGATTGGCACCTGCATGCACGCCGCATACCACTTGCGGTCCAGAGGGTAAACCTTCGGTGTTTCTTTGCTTNAGCAACATCTTTGGCGCCGGCATCAACCCCAACGTCGTACACCAGCCGGACATCAGCTTCCAGAAGTTCGCGACCATGAGGACCGACCTCTTCAAGGACCACGGCGAAATGTAATCCAACTTCAAGAAATCTGGCAGCAACGGAGAGATGTTTTCCTTCTGCAAGGGTGAGTTTAATATTCCGGCCCGACCATGCTGTTTCTGTTGAGCAGTGACAAAACGAGCCTTGTATATGTTTGAGGGTAGACGAGATGCACGAGGTATTTAGTGTTTGAATACTCGCGAGCGCGTGCGTGTGCGGTGCTTGTGTTTGGCCTCTCCATCCTGGCGCGTGCTCCCCATCGTGTTGCGTCGAAAAGCATGTAGGTTTGTGCATCCATGGGCCCAGAACTAACCTTAGACGG